AACATAAGCAGAACACTCTATGACATAAATCACAGCAAGATCCTTTTTGACCCACCCCCTAGAGAAATGGAAACAAAACCAAAAATAAACAAATGGGACCTAATGAAACTTAAAAGCTTTTGCACAGCAAAGGAAACCATAAACAAGACAAAAAGACAACCCTCAGAATGGGAGAAAATATTTGCAAATGAAGCAACTGACAAAGGATTAATCTCCAAAATATACAAGCAGCTTATGCAGCTCAATATCAAAAAAGCAAACAACCCAATCCAAAAATGGGCAGAAGACCTAAATAGACATTTCTCCAAAGATATACAGATTGCCAACATACACATGAAAGGATGCTCAACATCATTAATCATTAGAGAAATGCAAATCAAAACTACAATGAGGTATCACCTCACACTGGTCAGAAGGGCCATCATCAAAAAGTCTACAAACAATAAATGCTGGAGAGGGTGTGGAAAAATGGGAACCCTCTTGCACTGTTGGTGGGAATGTAAATTGACACAGCCACTAGGGAGAACAGTATGGAGGTTCCTTAAAAAGCTAAAAATAGAACTACCATATGACCCAGCAATACCACTACTGAGCATATACCCTGAGAAAACCATAATTCAAAAAGTCATGTACCACAATGTTCATTGTAGCACTATTTACAATAGACAGGACATGGAAGCAACCTAAGTGTCCATCAATAGATGAATGGATAAAGAAGATGTGGCACATATATACAATGGAATATTACTCAGCCATAAAAAGAAACAAAATTGAGTTATTTGTAGTGAGGTGGATGGACCTAGAGTCTGTCATACAGAGTAAACTAAGTCAGAAAAAGAAAAATAAACACTGTATGCTAACACATATATATGGAATCCAAAAAAAAAAAAAGATTCTGAAGAACCTAAGGGCAGGACTGGAATAACGACGTAGGCATGGAGAGTGTACTTGAGGACATGGGGAGAGGGAGGGGTGGGCTGGGACAAGGTGAGAGAGTGGCATGGACACATATACACTACCAAATGTAAAACAGATAGCTAGTGGAAAGCAGCCGCATAGCACAGGGAGATCAGCTCAGTGCTTTGTGACCACCTAGAGGGGTGCGATAGGGAGGGTGGGAGGGAGACGCAAGAGGGAGGGGATATGGGGATATATGTATACATATGGCTAATTCACTTTGTTATACAGCAGAAGCTAACGCACCAATGTAGAGCAATTATACTCCAATAAAAACGTTGAAGGAAAAAAAAGTATAATTTTTGCAAAAAAAAATCAAATAAAACAAACTCTGATAAACACCTTGTACACAGTCTATCCAGGGAAACAACTATGATAACCAAAAGCCATCTCCATCACCCCAAGCCAATAATAGCCAAGATAACCTGGAAAAGATCATAGTTTGGAAAAGAAGAAAAAGATTTAGTAATTTACTCAAGGTCGAGGGGCAATAAAGTGGTGGAGGCAAGATTCACATAGTCTGACTCCACAAGCCACACTCGTACTCACTACTGACAATCATGAAAGGCATGGGGCCAGTTACAGACTGCATGAGCTAACAGGAGGAAAAACAACCAGTCCCTACACTCATGGACATCTGGTGGAAAGTCAACTGACAGAGCCTCTCCAGAAAACTGCCTGGCATTTTCTAAGAAAGCTGAAAACATCCACATCCTATAACTCAGCAATTCCTCCCCTACCTATATACTCTTAAGCAACTCAGGCACATGTATAAGGCATGTGCAAAAAGGTTGACAGTGTATCCTTTGTACAAGCAAAAACTGGAAAGAATCCACAAGAATGAAAAAACTGTAAAATGAAATACAATGTAGCAATGACAACAAAAAAACTACTAAGGTAACACATGTAATATCCGATAAATCCCATGTACACAATGGTAAACAAAGAAGCAAGACCCAAAAGGATACATACAATATATTTACATTTATATACTTTTTAAGGTCATAAAACTGTATCTAAAAGCAAGGGAATTATTATCTTAAAGTCTGGATTATGGTTACCTCCAGAGGGAAGAGGCCCTTCTGTGAGCAGTGCTGTATTTCCTAACCTGGGTGGTTGTCTCAATATTACACTGTAAATTTCTGTTTTATGCATTTTTTCCTCGATTATTTTATAACTTTTTAAAAAATCACTCATTTTTGGCTCACGGAAGTTCATTAATTATAGTCCAGAGGCCTTCTCTAGTGGCCACATAGCTGGACTGTAAGTACATTAGCATACACATATAAGTTTATCTCCCAATCTACAACCAAATTTTTACAAAAGCTATTAACAGAAGTTCAAGTAATAAATTTATCAGACAGATAAATTCCCCTCTGCTTTTTTAAATCAGAGAAACGGTCTATATCATAAAACCTGCAACAGGTACTACTCTGTGTGATATGTAACATTGATAAACCCACAGTCAGTCTGTATAAAGCTGTGCATTGCCCAGCCTGACGGTAGCGGGCCTGATGGCAGTGGCACTACAACACAAAAGCCTTTGATTTCAGACTAACTACCAGTATCCAAAGGATGACTCCTAGGTAGTGACTGGGGAACATGTGACACTCACCACAACAGGGAAAAACCCAGCAAAAACAGGGTAAAGGAAGATGAGATCCATTTCAGCCACACTGAATTTCAGGGCCCTTGTCCAATGAAGAGTTGGAAGCAAGAGCCTGGAGCTCACAAGAGAGGTGCAGCCCGGACCAGGCCTCTGGATGTCATCAGCCCAAAAGTGGTTGGTGAGGTAAAGAATGGGTCCCAAGAAAATGCCTGAGATGCAAACTATCATTTCTTTTTTTTTTTTTTATGCATGCCAGTTCATACACTACGGTTAACTTTGGCAGTAGGCCAGAGCGTATTTCTAACTGCACAAAGTAGGAGTTGTATACTATCAGCTCTGCTCCTTAGATTGAGTTCCAGGTAAATATAAAATAGCACATTACATCTGATAAAGCTTAAAAGCAAGTAACCTTACTATTTTTAGGTAGGTTCAATTGCCTGCAGCTAGATAAAACGTGCTTCTCAAGGGTAAAAAAATCATTTAGAGCCATCCAACAGTAATGCAAACTCCCGGAGAGAAAGGCTTACTGATTAAGCAAATGTCAAGTTAGCACAAAGTTATGCAGTCAGAATGAGGTATTAAAAGGTACTTTGGAGACATGTGGGTTGTAAGAATTTTTGTTGATATTGTAGCTGGTTGCAGAAGTTTGTAAAAAACAAAGAGAATGAGTTATTATTAGGCAAAGGGTCCTACTTGTGCTTAACAGAACAAGGGAGTCTAATAGTTCCAAAGGGCCCTTAAACCTAAGATTTTTTTTTCCCAGACCGGGGCACGAACCTGTGTCCCCCGCATCGGCAGGTGGACTCTCAACCACTGTGCCACCAGGGAAGCCCTTAAACCTAAGATTTTAAGCAGAGTCCAAGTAAGTCTATAAATGGGCAAATCTGCTCACAAATTGCCAGAAGGCAAGATCAATAAAACTATGATTCACAAATTATATATTCACAAATATACTTACCTGGAAGACTGGTTATAAGTATTCCTAATCCTTATTAAAAAGAGTTTTGCTTTAATCTACTGCTTCTGAGGCTCTATTTACAATAGCCCAGAGATGGAAACAACCTAAATGTCCATCATCGGATGAATGGATAAAGAAGATGTGGCACATATATACAATGGAATATTACTCAGCCATAAAAAGAAACAAAATTGAGCTATTTGTAATGAAGTGGATGGACCTAGAGTCTGTCATACAGAGTGAAGTAAGTCAGAAAGAGAAAGACAAATACCGTATGCTAACACATATATATGGAATTTAAGAAAAAAAAATGTCAAAAAGAACCTAGGGGTAAGACAGGAATAAAGACACAGACCTACTAGAGAATGGACTTGAGGATATGGGGAGGGGGAAGGGTATGCTGGGACAAAGTGAGAGAGTGGCATGGACATATATACACTACCAAACGTAAAATAGATAGCTAGTGGGAAGCAGCCACATAGCAGAGGGAGATCAGCTCGGTGCTTTGTGACCACCTAGAGGGGTGGGATAGGGAGGGTGGGAGGGAGGGAGACACAAGAGGGAGGAGATATGGGAACATATGTATATGTATAACTGATTCGCTTTGTTATAAAGCAGAAACTAACACACCATTGCAGAGCAATTATACTCCAATAAAGATGTAAAAAAAAAAAGAGAGAGTTTTGTACTAGCCAGCTATCATTTCCCTTTAACTCTTGAACTTTCCTCTAGACTAGATATGACAATCCCATAATCATTTGTGTTTAACTTCAAATCCCTAGAGGAAATTTGTAAAACCCTTTGTTATCCATGCATGTGTTGACTTTTATTCTGCTATCTGTACACTGTCCACATGCATGCCTGTCACTGGGTCTATCTTGAACCCTAAACTGCTAGAGCCCATGGACAGAAACTATCTGGATCCCTCCATAGCACAGAGTGCCAAGTAGCCACCTGAGAAAATTATAACTAGTAATTTAACATATAAAATTAGGAGGAAAATGCTTTTCTAGTATAATTACTTGAGGACACAACCTATCAGATAGCCTCATTATAAACCATACATGATTACTCATATTTAAAGACTCCTTGAAGATCTATCATTCGTTCTTGTTTTTTAAAAAATTATTTATTTATTTATTTTTGGCTGTGTTGGATCTTCGTTGCTGTGCACAGGCTTTCTCTAGGGGAGGCGAGCGGGGGCTACTCTTCGTTGCGGTGCGCGGGCTTTTCATTGCGGTGGCTTCTCTTGTTGCAGAGCACAGGCTCTAGGTGCACAGGCTCAGTAGTTGTGGTTCGCGGGCTCTAGAGCGCAGGCTCAACAGTTGTGGCTCACGGGCTTAGTTGCTCCGCACCATGTGGGATCTTCACAGACCAGGGCTTGAACCTGTGTCCCCTGCACTGGCAGGCAGATTCTTAACCACTGCACTACCAGGGAAGTCCCTATCATTCATTCTTCACCTACAAAGTACTTACCACAAGTCCAATGAAAACGTTCCCCTTTTTTTTGTCTTTAACATTTTCCTTATTTTCACAGATACACAGAAGATAGCTGGTAGAAGTATCAGTCATTATCTCATCGACATTAACAGCATCATCCAGCTTGACTAAAGGATTCACATGTAATAATCATTAAAGAAAAACAAATGCTACATTCCCATTAGCTTTTCCCCCTTAAAATAACGGTTCATTTTCCTGGGCATTTTTGCTTTATGCAAAATGGAAATTAATGGAATAAAACAGCCTTCAGAATTTGGGTAGAAGCTAAGCAGGCCTCTAAATAAGCACATCTGTAATAAACCATAACAGCAATACCTTCACACAGTATCATTTAAGACCTTATCCCTACATTCTTTTATTCTGAGAGACCGGACCCCATTCCACAGTAAACAAAATGCTTCCTTATCATATTTGATATATAATTATTTGGTTTTTAAATAATTGATAGAATGTTATGACTTTGCTGTTAAAATCATTTTGCTTCGAGTAACTCATTGAATTTTTCAATGACCATAAACTGGGGGGCAATCATTATATATACTGAGGGTTCTTGCAAGTGAGAAAGCTTACAAACCATTTTCAAAAGTAATAAAATTCTTATGATGCTAACAATTAATGAAGATGACCTACTATTATGTTTTATAAGCACTTAACTGTGTGTTAACTTGGTAGCTTTCTTTTCACATTTTGAAGTAAATAAGTTATTTTTTAGGTCTCATCTTAGGAAGATCTACAGGAGCTTGTAAGCCCTAAGCATCTAACCACTGCCCACAAAGGCCTAGGAAAGATGCAATTTCACATCAGTTGCTAACTTGCTATCATCTTTTATCAGGCTCTCTTTTTTCTTGCTCTTAAAATACAATGAACTCTCCTTTTACTGTGGCATTTGAAAAATGCTTCTTTCCAGCCAATATCAACTCTTCTCTCTTCAGTACCTTACTAATCACAGGTCAAGGTAACCATACTGCCTCATCTCATCAAAAAGGTACCCAATCAAAGAACAGTTTTAAAAAATGCTATTTAAAACAAAGCCCTTGTAACATTTAAGAAAAACAATTCCTATTTGAAAAGGATATCTTCTCCAATAAGTGTAGATTTTGTATAAAGAGCAGTCAATTTCCGGGAAAAGAGTGAACTTTTGTTGTCCCCAATGGCTTTTAACGCAGCTGTTTCAGTTTGTTTCACAACTCCCACCTTCAACAAAAGTAAGAAATACTGCATATCAAATACGATGGAAAATTTGTTAACAAAACATTAATTCTAGACTTTGAAAGGTTAATTCTGAAACATTTAAAGTAAACAAATTAGTCCACAATGTCCAGAGGTAGGGCTTAAGTAATAAGTACCACAAGGACCTTGCAAGTGTGGATAAATCACTATGAAACACTCCATCACAGAGTTGAAAAAACTTTTTACCCTAAATATCTAGTATGTTAAAAACTCATGGAGCTATACTGCCAATAATTATGACAAATTTTAATTTCTCCAAAATACCAAATTCCAAAACCAGTTATAGCCTACCATCTTAGAAAACATTTCCCTCTCTGGAAGACACTCTAATCCCCTTTTCCCACAAGTTGAAGCCAAAGCTGACCTTATATCCCTTGGCCACAAGGCGGCGTACGTGAACAAACAGCCGGTGAGCAGGTATGCTTGCTGTCATAAAGTTGTGATCTAAATGGCAATAGATATTGAGCTCCCGGGCTGCAATCTAAAAAAATTTAAGAAGAAAATATCAATACATTTCTACTTCTAGATTCCCTGTGAGTGCTTGTTCACTTTGTTAAAAATCCATCAAGGTATACATTTAGGATTTGTGCACTTCTCTGTGCGGTATGTCAATAAAAAATTTAAAAGACATTTGCTGTGTAGAAGCCTATGGTTTTATCTTTTTTTTAACAGTGTCCATGGCCTAACCTCAAAGCCAACATCTATATTTATAAACAACTCAGAAAAATGACAGGTTTTCTTTTATGTCCTTAGATCTATCAAAACCTTAAAAGTGCTGAGCTTTCCCTGCACAACACAGAGACCATGAGACTGAAGTAGAATAAGAATTTGCTACTTAGCACATGCAAATAACTGAAAATTAGGAGATACCACGGAGTATATGTACATGATGAACCTCCTTGGACAGAGGGCATCTTTGAGGAAGTGAGAAGAGAACCCCCTGGTCTGGTTAGCTACTTAATGATGCATGAATGATAGGAATGCAGAATCAGGCAGCACCACCTGATTCCCTACGTTTTTCTACAAAGTCCCAGGGCTTAGATATTGCCCACTGGGGCCACGGAATTGGAGTCATTCCTCCACTCTCACTCCCCTGTATCACCCGTCTCTGAACTGTATTAGTTCATCACTGCAGGGCAAGAAGACATCAGTCTTTACTGTGGTCAAGGCTGAATTTAGCACTCAACCTAGAGAGAAAGGCAGAGAGCAGCACTTCCTTTCACCCCTTCATCTATAAGAGGCCAACCACGTGGTTCCTGTCCTCAGGAAACACGCGGATGCTGTTTCAAAGTCTAATTTCATGACACAGAAGAGAGCATCATGCCATCTGAACTAGAGAACACCACTTTCCTGCCGCAGGACTTAGGACACTAGAAGAACAGAAGTTGGCCAGGCCTCCACTCCCCATTCATGAGGTGGCAGACGAGCCACCTCATCACTCTCTGAAGATGTACTATCCAACCAGGCCTAAAACTAAGGGATCATCACAATCATTCGTGACCTCAACAGCACCACCAGCAATACCAAGCCTACGCTTGCCCCTAAATGCTCAAGTTTACTTTTAACCTTCTTAACTTAGGCCTATATCAAACACCCCAAATTAAATACAAACCCAACTTGGACTAAGATAGCAAGACAGCTGATATACGGAGACTTGTAAGACTTCACACACTTGTTGGTGGCTGGCAGGGTTAATGTGCTCTTCCACTGAGATTTAACTATATTCCTGGCTATGAAAATTCATAAGTTAAGGGTAAAAAGAGGAATTTCTGTACATCTCAATTTTCTTTTTCTTGCTTGAGTGTTCATTAGGAATACTCACATGATTATGGTTCATTCACAATTGACTTTCGATGGATGAAAGGTACTGGGCCAGCACCATGGAGAATAAGCATGAACATTCCAATAGGGACCCCTCACTTCCTTCCCCACAAATCTAGCATCCACCAAGTTTGCTTGTGTCTATTTTTAGTTTTTACTTTAAATGAAAGTATTTTTGAAGGTAATTGATCACATTAGCTTCTCCATAAGGTCAGAAAATGAAATAAAAACACTGGAAAATATTTAAGGCTGGACAAAAAAACAGGAAACAGTGTCTGAGAAAACAACTTACCTCTGCATCTTCCCCAAAGAATCTATACTTATATCCACATTCCACACACAAAATTGCATCTTTCTGCTGCTGCTTCATTTCTATGTATTGTAATTCTAAGGGGGTGTAGATGCTTTTGGTCCGTTTGTTAGATGGTTTAGAATCAGAAGTCTTCTGTAAGTTTTCACAACTGCTATGTGATGATCCACAATGACTGAGTGTCTTGTCCTGGCAACCGAAAGATTTTTATAGTTTAAAAAGTATTAACTGTAATAATAGTTCCAGAATGTAAATTTGGCACAAAGCTAATAATTGGTGAATCCAAGTGAAAAGTTTACAAGAGTATATCATATATTAGGCATATTTTCTTGCAGGTTTGGAATTTTTTCAAAGTAAATGACTTAAAAAAGTGAGCCAAACTAAACTACTGTATAATTACTTGAGCAAATTTTGAAAGCCGAAACTAAAAAAGCTTTCTATACTTCTCTTTAAATTGGATTTCATTAAACCAATTATAATTAACCATTTTCTTTTCTTTATTCCCAGATATATAAGGCACAAAAGGTCATCAGGCATCCAACCTTCTCCCTCAGCGGTAAGGCAAAACCACTTTCAACAAGCATGCCAGCAGCTAAAGCTGCACTTAATGTTTAAATTTCCAAGTACAGTCTAAAAGATAGTATATTCCATAATCTTTATTCCAAGAAAGAATCACAATTTGTTTGGTAAAGAGAGATGAGAAACAGCTTTTGGAAAGCATAAAGCACAAGGTTACATTTTCAACATTAGTATTCCTGATATCCACCTGTCTATATGAAAACCATAATTAAATCTAGTTCACAGCTTAGAGCGAATTCCTTGCTTCTGAGACTTATTAAGGTAAAATGAAACAAATCTGTACAATTGATGACATAAAAATTCATATTTTAAGGCAAGGCAAGAAAAATCTAAAAATTCTTCTCTCCCCATTTTGGCCCCCTCCCTCCCCTTCAGTATGCATTGTGCATCTATCTGCCTTATGCTTAGGTTTAGCAGAAATACCTGCTCAACCATTAAGATCAATTTTCCTCCTTCTGGTGCCAGCCTTATAACTCCTTGGAAGCTAACATTTCTTTCTCAATCCTTTAAGGGGTCACGATGACTCACCCACTCGCCTCGTACACACAGACATCTATGGGGAACTTTATATACAATGCCAACATACCATTTCCCTTAAAGATAGCCATTGGTACATAACATACCGGTCAGACGACCTGGGGAGACACTGGGCACCTAATGGAAGTCTTCTTAGCTTAAATACTTACTTATGACCTTATTAATGTTACTAGCTATATTACTTGTATTCTGCCTATTTTATAATATAATTGTTTCTTGCGTTACCAAATGTATGACTGAGCCTCCAATAAAATTAATAATGATTAGGCGACTTAAAACAATTGACAAAATATACAGTCCTATATGATCAGTGATTTTAATAGTGTAACTCTAGATATGGGAAGAAGCAACAAGAGAGAATCTTTTTCTAGACCATAGCAGACTATAAGACAGGTGGTTCAGAGGCTTTCGGCTACTGTTAACAGGGCCTAGTCCAGGAACAGCACAGTGAGTGGCCTACCAACAAAATCCTTGCCTGACCTGAGAATGAGTATTCCTAGCGCCATAGGACAAATTGATCACAAAATGCCTCCCAAACCTTGGTTGAAATTAAGACCGAAAGGGAACCAATTAAAAAATAAAGACTGTTTGCCCATCAACCAATTCTACAAGAATGAAGTCATTAGCTACTGTGGTTGCTGACCTATATTACACCCTGAAAGGAATTCAGGAAGAAGATCAGGATGAGGCTCTTTGTGAAACTTGCCCTCAGATAGATATTTTCAGGAGAAATTTTTTTATAAACCTGGATTCTTGCATCATCCCATACTTAGAAAAGCACTAAAATCATTAACTAAGATGTCTGTTCCTTGTGACTAGCAGCAACCTTCTACTGAGATGTGTGCTTGAGTGCACATACCCCCTTTACCAAAATCACACATATACTGGCCTCCCCGCCCTTTACTTCTTTGGAACAGTTCTCAGAGCTCTCTGAGAGACTATCTCCCGGGTTATAATCCTCAGGTTGGCTCAAATAAAATTTTTCACTTCTTTCTTAGATTGACTATTGATTATTTTTGTCAAAAGGATAAATCCAGCTTCTAATTAACTGTCACTGGGTCACTGCCTACATCTAAAAACTTACCAGCTACCCTTGAAATTAAAAATATGGCCTAAAAGACTAGTGACCAGCAGAGGCAGAGAAGAGAGAAAGAGAAATGTCTTATATGGCCCAGGGAGGGGACCGCAGTCCAAGGAAAGCCCAGAAAGATGTTCTTTAGAGTTGCAGTTGCTAAAGGTTTAAAAAATTCAGCTTAGCTGGAATAGCAGGTAGAGACACAGTTTATCTGAATAGCGAAGCCAAGCAAACCTCCAAAGATCAGCAATGAGATCTGGTAAAGTATGGACAGGCATGGCAGGAGAAAAGTGGGTCAATATACCAGGTTGGAGAATGCATTTGCTTTTAATTATGATGGAAATTCAAGAAAACCACATATTGCAAAACTTAATGAATACTTAAAAAAATATATTTCCTGGAAAAAGAAAGTTCTTACTTTATACCTTATTCATATAGGGAATGAAAGTAGGAATCCAGCAAATAGTTTTAAGCATATGGGATACGAATAAACAAGTCAATCTGAATACTTGAGTATTAAGCAACTTTTTTTCCCCACCATTTGGGTGAAAATATTTCTCAGATATACTCTTTTTCATATTCCCAGAGACAGCATTCTGAACTCAATTTAACTTCGTCTTGACAATTGAGGATGATCAGAATAATAAAATGGGAATTTCAGGACCGATTTCTAGGTGTCTCTTCTAACTGGTTACTTCTAATGTGCTGTGAATCAGAAATGCCAAGTTGGTCATTTTATGTATAAACCAACAGTAAATCTCATGAGACCCTAGGATAAATTCTCCAATTAATAAAGTGAACATACATATACAAACTTTTTGACCTCTATACTTTATGACCACTACACTCAGGTGAACTGCTTCTAAGTACTAAAAAACGATTAAAAATGAAAACAAAGCAACTTTTTTTCTGATGATGTAAAATAAGTCAATGGATCTTACGGCCTGGCTGAAGGAGGAGTTCATGAATCTGGACTTTGTGGGAAGGAGTGTGAACTTCTGAAAATTAGATACAAAATTGTGTTGGTCTGAGTATTTTTCTGAGTAACGAATCCATAGTTTTCATTAGATTTAAATGACTCATAAAAAAAAGTAAAGAACTAGTTCTCTAACTCCATGGTTTTCGATCATGGCTACAAATTAAAATGAGAGCTTTTAAACGATATCCATGCCCAGTTTTTCATGAAAACTAACTAAACATGATTCTGAAGAAGGGTTCTTACTATCGGTATTTTTTTTTTGATGTATAGTTGACATACAATATTATGTTAGTTTCAGGTGTACGACATAGTGATCTGATAATCAAATACATTATGAAGTGATCATAAGTCCAGTAACTAACTGTCACCATACAAAATTATGACAGTAAGGTGATTCTAATTTAAAGCTGGGCTGAGAACCACTAATTCTGAATTATAATAGATTTCAATGATGGATCAAGAGTTAAATTCCCTGATTTTGCAATGGTGAAAAATACTAATAATCACCGAACAGTGGAAGAAGTAAGGAAGCCATATACGTTTGGTTAAACTCTGAATTTATTATATCAGCCAAGCTTTCAACTAAAAACCTCAAAACATCTCTATAAATTATTCACTGTGATTTTCCAGACTAATCATGGAAACTATAAGGAGGACTATAAGAAACTGTGCTTGTATTAATTATTAATAAAGAATCCCCCCAAGTCAGTGGCTCCTAATCCAGGCTGTATATCAGAATCTGCTGGGAGGTTTTCTTGTTTTTCTGTTGTTTTAATAAAACTAATTCATCCTGCCTTAATACATAGTAAACCACAATCTCCAGGAATTTAAAAAAAAAAAACAAAACCTAAAAAGCAAAAGCTCCCTCAGCTCATTTGGATGATCAGCCAAGTTTGGGAACCAGTGCCCTGAGTGAACCCACAAACCTAATGGCACTTGAGAACCTACAGTTCTAAGTAACTGGATATTCATCTATATAAGAGTTACATACCTTTTGACTAGTTTGAGATTTGGAATCTTCAGAAGAAACTGCATTCTTTGCACGTAGAAGATTGATATCATCAAAATCAGTACATTTTGGCAGAACTGCAAATCTCTTCTGAAGAGACTCTGTCTGGACTCTATTTTGAGGAAGGGCAGAATCGCAGCAGAATTCTTTCAATTTTTCCAGAGACTTTAAAACGATCCTGGTCCTCAGATGTTTCTTTGGCTCTTAACAAGTCAGAAGAAAATATAACAATAGTATTTTATCTCATTATGTCAATTCATAATTAGCATAGGATTTTTAAAGAGGGAGCTTCTCACTAAAGCAATGAATCTAACTATAATGTGATAAGGAAATAAAGAAACCTCGGGTTCAGGGTGAAGATGGCATATTGAAACATAGATCTAATTTCACTTGGTCCTGAAACCCCATTAAAAACTACAACAGGGCAGACAGAAAAGAAGAGGTGACAACTGCAAACAAAATATCTGAAGCTAGAAGGATAAATGGATAAGCAATAACCAATTTACCATACCTGAAAGCTAAATCCTAAATCAGTAATATATAAAACCAGAAACCAATCTTACTTAGAACACAAAATGTTTATTAAATGGCTCAAGAATCAGGGCACCAGTAGCTCTGGAAATGGAAAAAAGGGAGGTTCTAAAATAAACAGAACTGGTTCAAAACAATTTAATCCCTAGACCCCTACCCCACTCCAAACTCAAGGGTAACTGTCCTCCTTCTACCTCAGAAGAAGACTGGAGATTTCTCTGGAAAAGGCAAAACAGGCACAGGTGAGACGCAGTACTGTGCCTGAGCCATAAGAATGATGTGAATACAGGCTTACTGTATGTGGAGAAACCAGCCTCTTCTCACCAGCTCTCAGAACACAGGCAGCCAGAGTTCTCTCTCCAGGCAGGAGCTCACAAGACTCTGGACTGGGGAAACTGACCAGCTCCATGGGAAAGACCTAAAGATACTGACACCAGGAATTCACCAAGGAAACCACCCCCAGGACATGTGCCTTCCTG